AGATAACGTAAAGGAGGTTAATAGAAAGCAATTAAACTTGTGGACAATGTGATAAAAACAGAGATGCTCTTCCAACCTTAATGCTATCGGTGATGTAGGCGATTAAACCTATAACTGTCCGTAGGTGCATCCATATAGATACACAACTGACAACCAATAACTTAATTCATAGTTAAAAATTTTATTTAAAGGAGTTTTCCTTTTTAGAAAATGAAGCGTGCGTATAAAAGTCGTTCAAATTATTACTAGTTACGCGAAACGGCGAAAAACGCTCGAAAATTATGCGCAGTGGAGAGAGCCTAATTGGAACGGAACGCCTGAAAAAGCAGGGTGGAATGTTTAAAAATAGTTGACTGAGCATATGTGGGCAACTAATGTTTCCCTTCAGCTTAAACACAAAGGTCATTCTTAGCATGTGCCTTCTTTTCTCAACCACCCTCTTTTCTCAATTAATTCTAAGCGATTTGCATAGGGAGAATAGGCTGTAGTCCGCGGAAGACATAACTTTTTTTTAAGTGAGTCTATACTAGCTGGCAAGGATAGTTAGGTTTCCAGACAATTGGCGCATACTCTAAACTACGTCCTACCAGCGCAACAGGAACTCTTTGTTATGTTGGCGGTATGAAAACACTTCCTACACCTTTTTATGAAACGCAACGAACATTTTGCTTTAGTTTCACACGATTGAATAAGAAGGTCAAAGTTCGTGTTTTGATCGAGTGAAATACCAAAGTGAAAGTACGATACAACACACCCGATGGAATTGAGAAATTTATACACTACTGTTTGTGTGCGATTAGACAAACACGACGCAAACATTTGACTATCCGAATGTTGATTACATTGGGAAAATGCTTTTAACATATAATAAGAAAGTTCTAGTAGATTTTGTCGCAGCAAAACCCGGCTGGTATGAGACAACCCCCGCGTCGACAGAATGGATCAAACGACTAGTAAAAAGCGACGCAAATAACCTTGGTACGACACTGAATTTAGCAAAACGCAATTATTGGTGCTTTGCCCCGCTACCATTATATTAAAAAGCCCATTTTTAATAAATTAGAGAATACGCTAGTGAAAAACGATACATTGGAAATGATTGCTAGAGCCTTACAAAGAACATTAGCGACGTTAGTAAGAATACAAGGTGAAATACGATTAAGACCACTCCTAGCATTTTAAGCTCCGTTGGCAAGAAATTCTTCTTCGGTGTATTGACCATATTGAAATACTCACAGAAGCAAATTTCAGAGACGTTATGAAATATGTATACTTTTGTTCAACGTCAAATATTGAACTGGTGCAGGGAGTCAAGCTATTAAGCATAGAAAAAACATTTAGATTCGTTACGGATAGGTCGGTGTTAAAAATGGGCTCAACCGGTCCATTAACAAGCTTGCGGTACTAACCAAAGACGAATACAATTTTCTCCTTTCGTTATTAAAACTGTATGACAGGTATAGAGTTCTTTGCCCAGAAAGTTTTTGACTATGTGATTTTAAATTGCAGCGTGTTTGTGTAATACACAAATTTCGAATTAGCCAGTTAAGAACAATGTATTTCGACATTTTTAATCAGCCTGCAACTCACAATTAAAGGTTCTCCATTAGAAATTTTCACATATACCTGGCAATGACAGATGGAATGGAATGGATATTGTCTAGAACGACTTCAATAAATTTCTCGTCAGAATTAGCCACAGATTATAACTCTAAAAAATATATCATCCAGGCTTTGGTTTTTTTTTTTGCTTATTGGCTATTTTGACACTTAACTATGCTTTTCAAATCGTCCCAATCAGAGCGATTTCTCTTTACGCTGAAGTTTCTCCAACCCAATTATTGACTGTGAGGTCTGAATTATCCTGCATTTTAATGCGTGCTGAGGATAACCCAGACTCAGACTCACGTTTTCTCCAAACCATTTAAAGTAATCTGTTAACACCTTGCTTGTTTATTTCCATGACATTAAGTATAGAAATATATATGCAGCTCTTATTTTCTTAACGGAATTCGTCAGAAATTAGTTCTGTCCTAATAAATTGAAGTTCCTTCATTCTGTTTCAATTTACTTCATTAATTTTTCCTAGATAAAGCCGCATTTATGCTAGTTCTTATTGAGTGTTAATGCAGAGAATTCTTCGACATACATTACTTTTCCTCTTCCTCTCATATGTTGAATCAAAGGAGTCCTTGTAGAAACAATATATTCTTTTGCATGCGTTGTAAAATCTTATTTAGGACCAAAAGAGCTCATTGCCCCCGCCAGAAATTAGATTATTACTCGTAACCTGATCTTCCCTAGAAGATCATCAATATGTCCGCTTTAGTAACAATACATGGCAGAATTCAGCTTTCTCCGTTATACTCGTGTGTTATTTAAACTAATATTTATTATTCCCAATAATAAACTAAATGACGTAAATATGGTGGAGTTTTAACACGCTTGCATAGGTTTATTGGTACACTCCCGGCTGTGACGTAAAGTTCGTACGCGTATGTTCCAGGTGTATACATATACCATTTTTGTTTTTGCTTATGTTCTTCTTTATTCATACATAATATAGTTTCCTTCTTTATTTTCTTTTATTTCTAACTTTAAGAAAAACTCTCATTTTATTTAAACTTTAATTTCAGCATCACTTTTTCAGGATGTAATATTAATTTATATTTCCCATTGCTTAATTCAGTTGAATTTTTTTTAAAGTCGAATATCATTATAATTGAATAAATAAATTAGCCTAAACAGTAGTAAAATGTGAAGAAGGGATTACACATAGCGATCGGTGCGCAAACACAGAGTCTTAAAATATATGGATGGTTACTACCGTCTTATTTTGATAAAATATTTATATTCCTATAATATATATCTGTCTACATTTTCGCTTTAATTACAAAACTATTCCTACATTCTTTCAATTTCAAGAAAGCAATTATTAATTTAAAATCAAAAAATTAAATAAACATTTTCATTTTCTAATACTTATTTCCCAACGGAATAATACACAGAACATTAAATATATTTTGTCGATGTAACTATGTTTTCCTCAATACTTTGAAATAGCGTTTTATCAATTAAAAAAACACAAACGATTATTGAAATTTACCTGGGAAATAATAAATAGCTAGTTTATTGTAGTTTCGGAAATTATTACACTTATTATAACAATGTCCACGATTCGTCACTGTCGCAGTTTACCTGTATCCTACACTTAGAGGTTCGAGTATAACAAGATGAGATTTTATTTATTATATATTAAGTAGAAGATCTTTCTCAAACTAAGTTTGAAAATGGTGCAAATAATTGGACGCTAGAGCTCGGAGAGTTGGACGTTGGAAGAAAATAGACGTCGAGTTCTGCAAAATGCTACAAATACCTCACCTAGGTAAGACTTGACCATTTGCACATTTGTATCAATGGCAGGACAACATATTTCAGTACTAAAAATTTGTTAATGGAATATATTCAGTTTTAAGTCACGATGCCAACATTAAAAGATTATTATGTTATGTTGGTATGTTATATTTGGATTTCATTAGCTTTCGCCGCAATGTCAGTGCTCTATTGAGCGGACTTTTACTGAGTTGTCGACAGAGATGCTAAATTCTGCAGAGTTTTGGTCTTTCTTGTAAATAGGGCTACGTAATATGGACATCCTTACAAAACATTATACTGTTTTTTGGATTATCCACGAATGGCAACAGAATTGTACCTATTACGATCCCTGTGTAAAATGGCGCATGTTAACTATAAACTAAAAATAAACATGCGATAGAAAGGTGTCAAATCCATTATTGCACAGTTGTTTGCAAAATTGTTTAAATGAGCGGTTTCAATAGAGAGACGAATCCCGTCCTTTGTTTTCTGAAAGCAAGACGGTAAAGATCAAAAAAGCCATGAACATTTAAAGATGACGAGTGCAAAGATCTATTCCGATATAATAATATCATAAGTGAAGTGAAAGGAACTTCTTCCAGATGTTGTGAATGATTTGTAGGCATACGTTCACACTCCTAAAATGACGCTCAAATTATGCAGGAGCCCTGCTTCTTAAGTGATACAAGAATAAAAACATAAGGAGTTTTGTTCTACTCTACATTCACAAAGCGCATTTTTCTTGAAAAACAAATTACTGCAGTAGAGATATTGCAGTCTCTGAGAAATTACTAATATATATAACTTTTGAACTATTACGTCACTTTGGTTTTCTTTCACGAATAATAAAAACTAGCTAACCATTGAGGAAAAAAGGTATTTTGTTAGTGAAAAACATTAAATGGAACAATTCCTCTTGTCAAAAAGAAAAAAACCAAAAAAACAATTTGAAAATAGTTTCTTCGATAAAGCACGTTTTGCATCCGGTATGAAAAATAGACCAAACATTCGGCAGAGAAACTTTGAAGTTGGGCGCAAGGGATTTTCTAAAAATTATTGACTAACCATTTAGGATCGAACCATAAAGATCTCGTGCGGCTGGTAAACTTTATTAATGATTTTCGACATAGCTAATAAATATATTAAGGAGTGAAACATCAAAAACCATAAAAACAATTAAATATTTAACTGCTCATCTGTGCGCTATGTAGTTAACCAACGCGTAAGTAGGCGTTAAACAAAAACTCGCTGCGGTTGGTTAATACCTCAGAATGAGACAGGTTAGGGTGGTTTACAAATTACATCTTTTTATATTAAACCCAGCGAATAAAACAACAAAGCCATAGCACAAAGGGTGGTTTTGATTTTTCACTGAAAATTTTTACAATTAAAAAACGTGTAGACAGCAAATCAGAACCACAAACGTCAACCATTGGTGAAATTTGACAAAGTTAGTAAATGCTCATATGTCCGTCCATACACTTAAAAATAAAAGGTGTGACATGCGTACACAATTTAGGACAAAATCAGTTTATATGCGTTTAAATATAAAAATATTTCAGGGAAACAATTTGATAAAGTTTACATCAAACCGCATCTCATGCAACTGCGTCGATGGTTTTTTGGAAGAGCAGTAAATAGAAAAGGTGCCAATGGAAAAGAAAGTACAAAATATGTGATTCCATTTATATTTCTTTAAAGCAGCAAAATAATATTGCATGTAATTCAAAGTGGCGTTATCATATAAGGCTTATTTTATCAAACTGAGATTTCAAAGTAAGCGCAGTGTTACATTTTCAGTTTAATTGTCTGTCATTTTCAAAGGCGAAGTTAAATTACTGTTCATTGAAAACCAAAACATATCGAAATCTATTTTATCTCTCAATATTATGGGGAAAGAAACAGTTTACGTTTAGATGATTTAGATGAAAATCGGAAAAATGTTGCTAGAAAAACATTATTTTATTAATTTTCATAAGATTTCAGCCAGAGAATATGTCATTAATAAAAATTTTAATTTATACTGAAAATTATGTTGAAATGTAAAATAAATCAATAAGAATAATTTGAAAAGCAATTTAAAAATTAATATAAGTGAAAAAATATTTTTCTGCCATACAAATTTACAAGAAAATATTAATCAAACTCACTAAAAAACAAAATTACAGATTTGTCAATTGTTTACCACATAAGAAAAGCAAGAAGCATTAAAAATAAAGAAAGATATTTAAAGAAATAAAGACTGTTTATTAAAACACAATGATGTGCGTTTTGAAAATTTACCATAGAGAGAAAATTATTGAAATTTCTTTTTTTAAATTGTGTTGATAGTCGACCATTGCCTACTGCCGACCGAAATTACTGACAATATCTTTATTAGAGAATGTTCGCTTTTTCATTCACGCCAATTTCAATTACTGTGGACCTAATCTTAATCAAATTGTAACGTATTTAAAATTGCAGAATTAATAAATTTCAAAATTACGCAATGCAAATGCAGTCGAACTAAATAAATTCGGTCATTTTCATATATTTTATAGCTTTTAGATATTTTTAACATTATTTGCGACATTCAGTCTAACGGGCTTTGCACAAAAGACATGAGTAAGGGTCGATCTCTCAGTAAATGTAATCTCAATTAAAATACGGCGGACTGTAAGCTGGGTCGCTTATATCCTTAACTATATGATATGAGGAATGATTAACTATACAAACGCTATATATGAAGACATCCTGTATGATATACATTTACTCCATGTGCATGCAAAAATTTTCGGATTGCGAAGTTATGACGATGCACACGTCGGTCTATTCAAGAATGTAACTTTTTCGAGTACTTCATTCTAAGCGTACTTCAGCATGAGGATAATTTTCAAGTTCTTTATTGCGGTCATCTGACTATTTGACGATATTAACGTTGTGTTGTGATTTGAGCTAATAGCTGCTTTAAGTTTGTATAACATAATTTCTACGAAACTTCTCAAAGTTTTCTGTATGTTTATCTAATTTGCATTCCAGATATTGTGGATATTTTTGCAATCTCTTTACCTATCCGAATTATGTGGATAAAATCTATTATAGAAAATATAATTTTCTTCCCTGGTGTTTGACGGATTGCTTGGCCGGAGGTATTCACAGTTGCTTGATTATGAGTAATTCTATGTCTGCGCCATCTACTTAGAGAAATCTCTTTTTACATAAGACAGCATCACAACTCTTGTTATCTTTGTAATTACAATAATAAACGATCTCGTGTTCCAATGTGGATGTTATATCAACTTCCTTTTTTGAAAGCATTGCGGTCTGCAGTCTTAAGAGTTGCGTAACATAATTAAACTCTGGCGAGCACTTCAATTTCCTAAAAAATTAAATACGGAAAACTGGTGTGAATAACAATAAAGTGGAGAAAGTTGAAATCAGTATCAATAATACTAAAATATGTTTTTAATAAGAATGTGGTCTCTGCGTAACATAAATTGAAAATTTATATGATCAAACAACAAAACAGATATTCTATTCATCGACCTTCTTGCAAGGAGCTTTGACCAAAACGAAGTTTAGAGAAATTAAATAAAAAGATTTTTTAAAAGCTACAAGGAAATTTAGAAAAAACCAGAGGAGAAAATCATGGCGGAGTGTGGCGATTAAAATCTTCAGTGATCGCAGAAGCAATATACGGAGTTATCACAATCTCTTTTGTATAAATTTGCGAATACATTTTGCACATTTCACTATTATAACCACGAACAGCGATTACTTGCAAGAAATGACGCATGTAAATGTAGCTCATCATCTCGTATTTATAGACCCCTTTACGCAAAATTAATACGGGTGGACGTTATGGTATCTCTAATACCATTTGCTGCCATTCCTCCCAAAACACAACTTTTTTATGTTACCAAATCACGGACAAGTTCCTTATGCGGGGTAATTTTTTTTGTTGCTATTGAGAAATGCTGAGTGTTTTGCCAATAAGTTCAACTTATCAATAATTCATAGTCATCTATTTCTGTTCGTCCGAAACGGCAACAGCCAGTCACCCAGATATAGGAGTTATTTAACATGTCATGGATCTGGAAACAACAATAATTGTAAGGATCTTTATTGCTTATTAAGAGCAAAGACGACCCGCTTTTTGAAGAAACTATTCTGACAATTAGAAAGAGCAGCCAGGTTCTCGATATCCTGAGGATTCATTGTCTGTGCGCTACACGATAATGAATCGCAGTGTCCCTTTAAGGTCAGATTGCCAAGAAATCGAAATGCTCTCCTTTGCTTTAATTCCATATATAGACAGGTTTAGGAACTTTTTTGATCTTTCACCAAAATAGATAGTACTAGCTTTATTGAGATTAAAGTGCGAGTAAAGAGAGACCAGCACAGAACTTATAAAAAAAAATTGGCTCTGCACGGGAGGTTTTCAAGAGCTTTATCAAAAAAGGCTTCTATTGAAACCATTAAAACATCTGCAGCGTATTGAAAATGTGGACTTTGTCATCTTGAATTTCGTGCAGCTTGATTGTACGCAGATACCTCAGATAGCTAGGATGCATCTCTATAAATTCCAACTATAGCGATGCCCGCGACTACAACATGTGTTGAAAAAAGCTTCGAATACGTAACTGTAAACCGAGTGGAACTGCCCTATTCAGTAGAAAGTTACTAAATTCACATAATCATTTGCTTTAATGATATGTAAAAAAAGAGTCTTTGATTGTAAAACATATTCAAACTCATAAGACGAAAAATTCATGCCGTCTAAACTTACAGTTCACGATCGGCCAACGTCGAAAATCTGACTGCCTTAGAATATTATTGTCGGTGTACATTAGGGTGAAACCAAAACGATCATGGGTTTCGGCTGCGAGCTCAATGTTTTCTTTTTGCTTTTCTGGCCAAAGGTTTTCATACACCTTGAGTCATTCTAAACTCATTATATTGTAGGGCAATTATAGCTCTCAGCTTTTCCAAATAAGGCGTGACATTTGTGGAAGAAAACGAACAGAGGAATCCTCCACCATGGTTTTAGTGCGCGTACATTGGCACTGTCCAAATTAGTTGTAGCAACTATAATTTTGGGCTGAAAGGTCCTCATTATGGACACGACACCTAAATGTAGTTTAATTTTGAACAGGCTGTCCAATAAATGTTTAGGAAAGATGAAATTTTCAATTTTCTGCACGGAATCAGGACTTGCTTCAAATAATTGAAGTATGATAAATAAAAGGCTGTTCAAAATTTTCTATTGAAAGGACGGGATATTGGTGAATATAAAGTCAAAACTATATTCAACTGGGAATGTAAGCTAGAAACCAAACCTTTTCGGTTGCAAAGTATAATAGTTATTTTTTAGATCGTCAAACCTGCTGGGCTTAATGATATTTGCAAAGAGCTTTTTTCAGTTGGGTGAGATAGTGTCACCACATAAAGGATATCTAGCTTTGAAGTGTCCTGCTAAGATAACACTTTTTCTCTATCAAAGAATTTACAAAGGCATTGCATATTATCACTAGAGGAATCTCGGTAAATTGTGTACACTAACATAACACATTCATAATGTTAGGCGTGAAGTTAAAACATAACAACGTCAGAAGCAGACTTGCAAAACATCTGCTTACACTGAACTCCCTTTTTAGCATTTGGTGACTGAGATGAACTCGGCAATTTTGCAATCGTAAACAATCCAATTGGACATTTAGAGTACAAAAATCTGTATCTTTTTTGGTCAAGAAATAGTCGAAAAATGGGATATTCTTTAAACACTTAGCGGACCATATTGTAGAACGACACCCACAGAAGCCTTAGAAGAGGTGGATGGAACACCCTCACTGACCAGATTTCTGACATCTTGGAGTAAAAAATGTCTTTTTAGTCATTTTGAATAACTTACGAAATTTCTGCAAAACCTCAATCAATCTTAAGAAATTCAGAGGAACGGATAAAGTTATAACAAGTCAATAGTTGTTGAAAGCCGTTCAGGTGGAGGCGGATTCGGTCATGACCGAAGCTTTTACACCTGTCACCGTTATTCTAGAAGAGGGCAAAAAAGCAGAAGAACTAAATCTTCGTGCTCTGTAATATGGGGTGGGCGAGGCTCAATTTGTTTATTTTCAAAACGAAAGATTTTGTGACATAGGCGTGTGGGTGTTGTAGGCATGTCCTTAGAAAAGTTTGTCACCTCCAAATTCTTTTGTGAATTTTTAGGCAATATTTTCATTTTAATTTTAGCTAATGGAAGAATGTTTACCGCATATACTATACAGCCGCGAATATAGACAGATGAATAAACGAACATATTTAAGTACATTTTAAATTTGTAATTGGCCAAGAATATGTATACTTTAAGGGGTTTTCGAAGCTTATTTCTGTGCCTTATAAAGGTATCGAAAAAATATAATTTTACTATACTACAATATTGGTCAATTTTTTCCATATTCGTACAGGTGCTACAGCGTAGCCCACAGAATATGCGTCCAAAGTTTTGTAAATTTATCTGTTGTAATTTATGAGTAACGAACAAAAAACCAATTTTTTATTCCTTTTGAAACACAGAGGTGTTCTCAATTTACGTGCCGCGATTTGGCCCATTTTAATGCCCACCTGCGTGAAAGGACTCTCCAAATTTGAAGTCGATAGTGCAAGCGTTTTGACGAGACTAGTATAACCTACATTCTCCAGTGATAGGCGTAATCGTCCACAGACAAATTGCAACAATTAAGTTGGATAGATTTTGAAATCAGATTATCTTTAAAATCAATTTTGACGCCCGCAGTCGGGATAAAATCCCCCTTATCTTCTGTAGTAATTGGTTGAATGTCACGATCGTATAAATTGATTTATTCTTGTTTTATCGGAATCAATAGCCTTTTTCGAATAATCAGTGTTTACATCCTCGCCAGGAGAACGGTCGTTGTAAGTGTTAGTCCTTTTATAGGTTTTTTTGACACCAGATGTATTTTGATAATGGTTTTCATAAGTGTCCTGATTAACAACAATTGACTGGGACCCAGTCTCCATCGAGAAGTAGAACGCATGAATTTGGTTTCCTACAGGTGCAAATCAATTGGAACTAGCTTATTGTAGAAAATATATCTATAGGAGTTTAATGTTTTTTTCTTCTGTTCAATTAAAAACTTACTAAAACACTCCAAAGCATTTCTTGTTTTCGACGGTTGCTTGTTGACGGTTAAAAAAGTTTTTATGCCCTTTATAGTTTAGTTAATCTGAAAGAAGAGTCAGCTGTTTATTTTTTGGCTTATAAGTACCAACATAAGTCTCTTTATTTCTGCTTTTTCGTGCCTTGCGAATTATAAAAACAAAGCGACGACAAAGGTCTAAAATAAAGAAAGCAAAGCTTAACTTTCGGGTACGTCGTGGACAAAGATGTAGACACATAGTTAAGCAAGGTGATGGTTCAGTTTTGTTTTACTGCGATATAATGTAGAGATAAGCTACAGCTGATGTTTCAACTTGTGATTAAGTGCATGTTATTTTTTGCCCTTTTTGGCAAAATATTATCAAATTTCTCAAGTAATAAATATTCCATGAATCTTGTACATGAAAACACAAAAAAAATTCCAGCGATGTGTCCAGTGTATTTCGTAAATAATACATCATCATCAGAAAATTTTTCTTGCTTCAATGGAGACGCATAGACATTGTTGAAAAACCGATCATCATAAATTTTAAGTTTCAAGAATGTTGGCGTAAATCTGGAAGCGAATCTTCTTGATAGTCATCGATACAAAGTATACATTGCGAAATTTAATTTGGTTTCATTTCATTTCATTTATAGTACGCATATTAGATATTTAAAATGTCAAGTTTTTCCTTTTTCAGCCGAATAGGGAATTACTGTCTACAAAATTTTATAGACGAATATATGTAAAATAAATCTTCTGAAGGTAAAAATTAACAAAACTTATTTTATTGAAAACAACTACTATAATACCTATGTTTGGTAGAAGTGACGAGGTGTGAGGTAGAAAAGAAATGAAATAGTTTATATTTTATATATATTAACTTTAATAGAATATGGGTTACTTGTAATTCGTTTAAGTGACGATGTGTGCGTATAGGTCAGATAGGGGTATAGAGTATAAACTGCATAGAGTATAGAGTAAACAAAATATTGGCTTCGAAAGGAGTTTGTTGTTATTAATATTTAAGCTGGATTTGCAATTTATAAAAACTTTTTGGTTTCCATTGAAAGGTACTACTATTATTTATTGTATTGGTCTGCGAGACGTTACAGTCCATGCTTTACCTAATGGAGGATATCGCCTAAGTGTTTGGCGGCTTATTTATTAAAGTCGAATAATGTTTTTGCAAATGTTCCTTGTAGATTAGCTAGTATATTGCGCGCCATGAGTTGAGAATTAATGTGTCA